TAGTTCCAAGGGGGAAGAGGAGGGGCAAAGAGTGGTAAATAGATCGGGCAGCGATGATGGGGGTTGGTAGGTTCGATAGTGGATGCAAGTGTGCTTGGGAGTTGAGTATTGTGTATGGAGGAGTTGGAGGGTGAACACCCCACTTGGGGTTACTGGATCTTGCTTGGTGCAGGTTGTAGTACTTGAGTCTGTGTGGCTGGGATGTGGGAATATATTCTTGGTACCTGACTGAATTTACTCTCTCAATGACTTGATTTGTTTCGATTTGGTTCGGTTGGCATAACTCTTATTATATGATTATAATAAAACGTATTCATTGGTTGTTTCGTTGTAAGTGAGACATTACCGGCGTGATCTTATTCAATTCATTATTCCGGTGGTTGGGGGATTGTGAAACATAGTAGGGATGAGATTGATGATGGTAGTGATTACTCACTCGGGTCATTCATTCATCCTGAAGGGGGATAGGATGGGATGGGATGTAGGTACCGCGCTTGGGGATCGGGGATGATTGGGTATCAAATTTGATGATGAAGGGGGCTGCGAATGGTGTAGGTTGCTGTGGGAGACGCGCATTTACACAGGTGTGTTGTAGATTCCGTGCCTGCGGGGTTCACAGGAGAGAGTGAGGAGAGGAAACCCTCCATCGTGAGGGATATACTAGTTATCGGCTATTGCCAGTTCCTACTACTAGTAAGTAGTAACCTTCCAGAGTAGGAAACTTCCTACTACTGTGTATACCACCTCTATCGTGAGGTACAAAGTAATCAACGAACAGGCTCCAAAATACTCCGGCCTGATCATATGCTGATTGGATTGCCCATCCTTCCTGACGGTCGGTGAGTCACCGTCCCTCTCAGCCCAGAAGGAATCGCAACAGCCTCAAAACTGGAAGTTGCACCTGATCGGATAAACCAGTAGGAATCGCAATCACTGTAAGGTGCCTCTTCTCAGGCATCGACCTTACGTAGACCAGCCTGTTGTTCTAGCAACCGCGGAATGTAGGCATGGAATGTTGGTTTACTCAGCCACCTGATGATGCTGATGATAATGACGATAATGACGATAATGACGATAATAAGTGAGGATGTGTATGATGATGATGATGTAGGTGCAATGTCCCTGTCCTGTCCTGTCCTGTGTTCTGCATGTGTGGTGACTTACAGTGTACAGTACAGATAGATAGTAGTAACTAATCCTCTGTCTCTCACCCTGTCTGCCTGTTGTGTCATTGCGCTTATACTTTGTAGTTCAAAATGAGGCTGTCCGCCTCTCGGATTGGCTCTTGTGAGGGTTGGTGGGTGGCATGGGACTCCGCCTTGACAGGAAAGTCCAAAGCCTGGCTGGCCCTCTCGAGGGTGACTGATTGACTGACTGACGGCATTGCCACTGTCGCTCCTGCTGCAGCTGTGCTTCTCTAGTCGCATACATACATGGTAGTTAGTAACAAGTAAAAAATAACTGATGATGCCTATCTAATTTACTTAGTTGCTTCCTTCCCTTGTTCCTTTCCCAGGCCAGGTTCCATCTCTCACTGGCTATAAATAATCATCCCCGATGATTATATCACTCGCCTCCTGCAATAAGCCAAGCCACAGACCGACTAGTCCCATGTACCACTCAGACACGTTTTTCTCCCCTTACCCTTTTTTTTTTTTTTTATTTTCCCTCTTGAATTTTCTTTTTCCTTTCTAAATTAGCACGGGGGCGCACGTCCCACCCATTTGTCGAAGCAGTTCGAGGTCCTCCCACTAGCGCTGTCCACCCACAGTTGAAAGTGTTCAGAGCACTACCATTACGGAGTAAGACACCGCCTGTCACTTTCAATCCTACTAAGTTGTACTTGCTGTTATTTTTCTCCTCAATTTGCAACTAAATTTGATCATCATCAAATCAGTCAGTCAGTCATGTCCACTTTCAACCTTTCTGTGTGACGCCTTGGGCTTCTTGCAGTTGCATTTGCCTCCACCCCCCCATTCCCATTTCTTCTTGTCTGGTGAACGATAGACAAATCGCAGCTTTCGCACTGCCTCCTGTTCCACTCCCCTATTTGCCCACGGACTGCAGCCAATGAAGGGAATGACGATTGCCTGCCGGGGATTGATTGGGTCAATTCGTCACTTTTTGCGCCTGCATCACTTTAATGAATGGTATCATTGGTAACTTACTTACTGGATACAACTTTGTAAACTATCAAATCTACCGAGTAGGATCTAGAATAGATAACCAAGGCTATTTTGTAATTAGTACTACTTACTCCGTTGTTACTCGGAAAAGCAATTAATAATCTTTCCCCAAGTCAAAATCAAGTCAAGACAAGACAAAAAAGCAAGACAAGACTATTCAGTACAGTAGTAGTAACCGAAGTGGATTCGAGGATTTTTCCTTTCCTTTCCTTCTCCCCCCTTCTTAGCCGCTAATCTAACGGTCACCACGAACTGCTCGTTGACTTCCCCCCCTTTAAAGGAGAGTAAAAACTGCCGGTAGGTAGACAAGACACACTACGTAAGTACCAGTCCTAAACAGTCTGACCGGCCGAGTCCTCCCGCCCCAGGGGTCTTTGGTCTGGTCCCGTCCGGCTGGCTGGCCTGCCTCTCTGTCTGTCTGTCTGTCTCTGCCGACGACGCAGGTCGTGCAGTCGATTATTGGATGGAGTTGCAGTCAGAGTGCCTCCTTGACTTACTTTGACTCCCGGCCGTCCTGTCCGGTGCTGGATTTGAAGCATTTCCCGCCCATGCCATCTGACACTTAATTTACTTAACCACCCAGTAACATGACCCTTTGCTCGTATTGCACCTGATGACTGACGAACGGACTGACTGAGAAGAGATACAATTGGGACCTTTGAATTGATGCCTCAGTCAGCCAACAATCCAGTACATTCAAGCAAAAATAGTCGATGGATTCATATCGCTGCCGGTGCAAGATGCTATATTAAGATTGCTTGTTGTTGAGGGTGAGTAAGCACTCCTCAACCATGGACCCGGGCTTCTCTTTCCGTTCTGGCCGCGGGTCTTTTCATGGGCGAGAGAAAAGTTGGTGAGAATAGCTGGGTCTGAAATTGAAGTAACCTGGCCGTTCGGCAGCGTTACGGTGGAGGCGGTTTGGTCAGTCGGTCACTTCTTACTGGTTGGCTGGTTGGTCCCCTCTCTTTTTTTTTTTTTTTTTTTTCTTCTTTCCCTCTGACCTCTTCTTTTTTTCTTTTTTGTCTTATTTATTTTATTTTTTTATTATTTCCCTTTTTCAACTTCTTCTTTCCCTCTCCTCTGTCCTTTCTTCCTTCATCCTTCCCTTCCTCTTTTTAATTTAATTCGTTTTGTTTTTTTGTTTTTCTTTTTTTGATTTCAGGTTCCCTCTTTCATCCTAAACATGCCTTAGTCAACTCCTCCACCCTCTCCCAAGGACGGCCGTTCCATCATCATCACTGGGTACTCCCCCTCTCCTCTAGCTGGGCTCTAATGGAAAATAGTAGGGAAAACTCTGAAAACTCTAAACAACCCTCCAACCCCATGAGGTGTACTCCGTGGAAAGCCGTAGTTAACTCACTACTAAGAATATTACTAGTCTAGTAGTTACTTGGGACTGCTTCACTCGGGTGTTGCGGCTGGGATTCTGTTTGGTCTGACAGTAGTGTGTACCCTGTCCCCATTCATCACTACGATCGTTCTGGTAACTTCCTCCCTTTCCCTTTCAGATCGTGGTGGTTGCGATTCAAATCGGTACCTGGTCTGCGTCATAATAAAGGAAGAGAAATCCTATTTTGCCCCATTCCCTCATAGGCAGATGCCACTGATCTTAATAATAATGTTTAATATTAATGATGTAAAATTTGGCTACGATTTTATTTCACTTTGGGGGGGAAAGTGATTAAAAATATTCTCGAGGGAAATTTTATTGCTGTTAAACCTGATACATTTCCCTTACACTGACCTGGCCATGGGTCCATTCCGATGGTCTCGTTCCCTAACGGAGAACTTGCCGGGAGGATCATGGACAGGAGATAAAAAAAATATTAATGATAATTAAAATAACAAAAAAAAAAGGATGGGTAGGGGGCATAGGTTACTTTACAATGTAGTTATCTATTTTTTCTTTACTGTTTAAAGTTACAGTATAACAATGAGAATAGAACAGGGAAAAGGAATAGAAAGGGAATATCCCATCCATTGCTCGGATAGGTAGAACAGGGCATGAAAAGGTGAACAGGCAGAGAAGGCTACATAATCAATGGCAGGGAACCCAGTGGATGTTGTGAAGGATCACGACTCGAATACTAGACAGACCCAACCTAGCCAGACACGACACATAGAAGAGGGTGTATTGGTGTTACTCGTTAGTCAGAAGAGCAGCGAAGAAGAAGTGAGCCGGGGATCGTCACCTCCTCAACCCTCACTAGACTAGACTCTCTCTGACACCTCGGACCACTAAGCAGCCGCTCTCCCCTTCGTTTTTTTCTCTCGTCGGGTCTCCTGCTTTGGCTTGTGGCTCTCGCTCTCGCCTTGCCTTTCCACCTCTCGTTCTCCGTCTCTCTTCTCTTCTCCATCCTCCCACTCACTCCCCCCTCTCCCTCTTCCCCTTCTCTAACCTACTTCTCCAATCCTCTTCCCCCCTCCTCTCTACACCTTCTTTCACCATCTTCGCTTTTTGCTCTTGCAACTTTACCTTCCTCAATCCCCTCTCCCCCCCTTTGCTCTCTCCATCTTCTCCTCCCTTATACCCCAACGAGCTTTTCACTAAGTGTCGTTGTCGCTGTGGATCGGGGCTAATTCCCACCAAACGCGAGAACTTGTTTTGCTCTAATTTTTTTTTTCTCATCCTTGACCTACACAAAATTATAAAAAAAGAAGAAAGGAGAAAAAAAGAAAGAATCTCAACGTTTCTCGCCTGTTGCCTCCCTCCACTACATCATCCTTTGCTGCTTGCTATTCATTGTTGAGCGTCCCCACGCGTCTCCGGTGATTACCGTCAAACTCCGTCCCTTTTCGCCTCCGTCCTCGACAGCCTCGTGTTCGATCAATTGCCCGCCTTACAACACCGGAAGTAAAAAGCCAGAAAGGGATCACCAGACTCGTGCCGCTACAGAACCGCTCCTCCCCGGCAAGGAAGAACTTCCGAAGAGACATCTTAGTCGCGACCGCTCCGTCCGCTCCTTTCGACATTCGTGCCGTGGAATTGTTCCTCCATGTTATTCAACTAAGAAACATTCACTACGAAATTATCTAGAGCCGCGGCTCGTTGAGCATTTGCTCTACCCCCCAGGATCAGGGCGTGGCGAACGTGTAGACGGTTCGTATCTTGTGTTTTACTTGGTGTTTCACTCAATTTGCTCTCTGGGATTGCCCTTCGTCCCATTGAAACCCAATTTGCTGACTCGGGATCTTGTCCGTTGTTACAGCCTCAGACCGTCTACCTTCCCGTCCTGAACTGGTTCTTTTGCTTTTTCTTTTATTTTCATTATGCCGTCTTTCTTCGCTCCCGGCCTCCAGGGCCTTCCTCCTACTCCTCCCCATATCTTGAGCGGTGGCAGGATGGAACACGATCAACCCTTCTACCTCCTCGGTCCCTCGGCCGCATTCCCGCCTCGCTACCCCCAGAACGGCTGTGACTTCATTGAGCAGTACTCCCAGTCGACCTGCTACTCCAAGCCCATGAACTCGCAGTCCGCTCTGGGCGTCCGCAATGGCCGGGATATGGTCGCCGCTCACTCCGCGCTCAACCAGCCCATGTTCGGTCCTCTGGGTGCCGCCAACGTTTTGCCTCCCATCCGCAACAACGTTCAGTTGCCCCCGATGGAGAGTGCCATCCCGCCCCAATACCGACGCCAAGAGATGATGGTGCAGCCCGAACCCCAGCGCAAGGAGGAAAAGGCCACTGGAGGTGTCGCCGCCCACTTGGATTATGAGATGGACCAGATGTCCGACTTTGTGGCTGAGATGGCCCAGGGAATGTATGCTTTGTACATCACCAAGATCAACCTAGCAGATATTGACTTAGCGCGAAGCGTCTACCCAGGATCGTCGGTCCCCCCTCAGTTCCGAAAATACGTCTACCAGATTTTGTCATCCACTCGTCTCCCGAGCTCCACCATCCTTCTGGGACTCTACTACCTAGCCAGCAGGATGCGCATGCTTTCTTCCACCAAGGTGTTCCACACCGGCAGTGGCCAGGTCTACCGCATGCTCACCGTGGCCCTCCTTCTGGGAAGCAAGTTCTTGGACGACAACACCTTCCAGAACAAGTCCTGGGCTGAAGTTAGCAACATCCCTGTGAGCGAGCTGAATTCGATGGAGCTCGACTGGCTGTTTGCCTTCGAGTGGAAGATTCACGACCGGATCTACGACCAGCAGGATGGCTTTGCGTCATGGTTGTCTCACTGGGAAACCTGGCGTACCAAGACCGTTGCTCGGGCGCAAGAGTCCCGCCATGCTTTGGCTCCCATCGACACGAATGTCTCCCGCAGCCACCGCGTGTCGAAGCCTTTGCTCTCGCCCGAAGGGCCGATCCCACCCCAGTACCAGCGCAGTACTAGCTATGAAACCTCGTGGCTGAACCCTGCCGCGTCGGAGTATTCGCCGCCCTCTGCACCTCACACGGGACCGAACACTCCGGACTACTACGCAGCTGGGCCGTGGTACACGCAGCCTCCCCCGCCATACTCGCGTACCTGGGTTCCTCCGCCCCAGCAGTACATTCCACCGGCCCCTCGCTCCCAGCCTCCGTCCTACCACCACACCCCCGCATATGCGCTACCTTTCGCGCAGAGCGTGTGGACGGGCCACGGGTCATCCTGTGGTTGCCTGTATTGTGCCAAGCATATGGAGCACTACATGTGTGCGAACCCGTTTGGCTCGATGCAACCGATCGTGGCTGGTTAGTCAGGGGCTACGGCCATCTAATCATCTCTCTGACATAGTCCACTGGAGAAACGTGTTTCCTTCGATCCTGTTCTTCGCTTCGTTCTAGACCTGTCCAGGTTGTCCTTGTTTGTCTCTTTTTCCGTTACTGATGATACCGTGTTTCCTTCGTGTTTCTGCATGACTACCCGTTTTCTTTGGTCAGTTTCGGTTACGTCTGTGTTTCGCTGAAAAGTACCATCGGTCGCCTTTTCCCTCCGATTCTTTTTGTCTTTCATGCTTCCCGAAAAGCAAAAATTCCCAAAAAAAGTGTCCGACCGGTTGCGCATTTTCTGCACGATGTGACACTATCCTCCTTTCTTCTTTTCTTTGCCTTCCGCTTTCCTATCTCGATACGATTTGTTTCTTACGAAACACTCCTCTCATCGTGTCGAAAAGTTTTTTCCAAGAGATTCCTTGCGCTGAAGCTCTGGAGTCAGATGTCACGACAATTACGATTGTTTCTCTCTGCGTTTTCGCCTGTGCTTCGCCGTTGCCTTCTCCATCCTCCCTCTTTGACCTGTTCGATCTTTCCTCATTTTCTCTGGATTTGGGCATTTCATCTGGCGACTGTTACTCATAGATTGTGTTGTGTTCCTTGACGCTTGTCAAGTTGGTACATTTGGCTTTCTTCTCACGCACGCTCCACTCGAGTCCCGTGGCGTTAATACCTTGTCTTTTCTTGTTCGGTTGCCTTTAATCTGTTCTTTTTTCTCTTCTTACTCATACTCATCTGTTCCGGTCGACAGATCCTCTTTTACTTTTCGTGATGCGACCAGAGTACATTACTGCAGCTTCGTGTTTGTGGAGGTGCGCTCTCGGTTGTAACATTACCATTATTTGTTCGTTTTACCTTCGATGACCTTTTCCATTTTGCATGTTTGTTTATTCGCCCGACCCTCAAATCATTGGTGAGGCATTTGAAAAGTGATACTCCCCTTATGCCCCTTGTTTTACATTTACTCTTTGTCTTTGTCTTATTCCCCTCCCGGTGATTATAACACCCTCTTGTGTGGCTTCCTTATTCTTTCTCACTGCTCATTCCCTGAATGTAAGTTAGATTCTTTCACTACTTTTCTATTACCATTCACAAGAAATATGGGACAAAGACATTTCAAGCTTCCCTTACAAAAAAAGCACAGGGATCCCATTTGATATATACTGCTCTCCAATATTCCTTCCAAGTAATTACCATGCTATATGTACATGTAAAACCCTGTCTCAAATTTCTTCTCTTTCATCCTTCTGTCATGTTGAGGAAAGGTGTATTTTCACTGATCTCTGAACTAACTTAGTCGTTCTCACTGACTCTATGAAACCTTACTAAAGAAACGAAATGAAACAAAGAGCTTGTTACTGACCTTCTTTCCACAACAGCTCAGCAACAATGCACGCACAAAATTAAAACGTATAATGATACTCATAGCGAAATAATGAAAACATGCAAATACATCTATCTGATCTTTTATTCTCTGTAGATAGTAGTCAACTTAAAGTTATTAAGAAAATAATCCCCCGTAACCGAAATGCAAGTACAATTTTGAGAAAGAACCCTAGTTTGAATCTGATTAATGTGAATGCGAGAATAATATGAGTAAATTAGAATGAGAGGGAACAATAAGATAATAGGATAGTTTGTTTGTTATGTGGTATTGGAATAAATGGAATTTATCTGATTGATTGCCCTGGGGTATCTATCTGTCGATGTGCGCATGCATTCATTCATTCATTCATTGAATAGATGGTAGGTCGATAGATTGTTGGGGGGTGGGTTGTACATCATGGAGGAAATCTGAGTCATGATTACATGGGTATGAATGGAGTTATAAGGTATGTATGGCGGTGATGTGAGGGTGATTGTCTTGTATGTTTTGATTGTATATGGGTATAGAAGAAAAAGAATTTGCCTGTAGTCCTGTGCTAGTATACACTCCCCCTTATGCTCTGGTCGTGTTTTCTTTCAGCTTCGAACGAGGCGTCTTCTTCGTTGTAATCGTCCTCTTCATCGTCGCCGTGATGGTGATAGTGTTCATGATCGTGATCATCGTATTGATTGTCTTCACGGCTGTGTTCGTCCGCTTGCTGGTTCTCGGCTTTCGAAGTTCGAGGATCTGTGGGGAGAGGTTCATCATCTAATCTGTCTTGGCCTGCTCGATCCTGGTTGAGGGCGTTGGCGACTTGCTTGCTCAGGGTTTGGCGTGCCAGGCCCGGGGGATTTCGGACATGGTGGCTGTGGGATCGGGTACGTCGGGGTCGCGCAGCCTGCTTGGAACTGCTTTCGTCGTCGCCGTCGTTATCTAGGTCTTGAGATGGTCGAACTTGATGGGCAGAGGGGGTCGGTTTGGGGCGGGAGTGAGTTTGTTTGTGGTTATGGGTATAAGTATGCATGTTGGGGCGAAGCTTCTCTTCGCGTTCGTCCTCCGACGGGGCGAGGCTGTTTGCGCCGCTCATGGAACCGCCGCCGTCGCGGCCAACGAGATGGATGTAAGCGTAGTTGCAGTTCGGGGGATGGAGGAGGTGGTCTTCGCTGTCACGGTGGAGATGGGCGAGGCCAGGGCGGCGGGGTAAAGGGCTGGGATTTGAGGTTGGTTGGCTCAGGTGACTGATAGTGGTGGTGGATGCATTGGGTATTGGGAAAGTTGCTTGAGAGGTGGACGTGGTTTCAAGCTGTACACCTTCAAACTCGTACTGTGGAGCTGGGGAAGGCAAGGTCCTTTCAAGAGGCCTTGCATCAATGGAACGATCCCCCAAAGCTGGCTCCGGGGCTCTGAGCATTTGCTGGTCAACCGGAGTGGCTGTCCCCGTTCCAGCCGGGACTGGTCTTGGGTGGCCGTTTTGATTCCCGTGAGATCTGTGATTGTGGTGAGTAGCGCTGTGTGTTGTTGTCTCCTTCGACTGAGGGTCATGTTGATGCTTTGGATGGTCTGCGTTGTGTGCACGGGGCGTACGTAAAGAGCTTCGTCTTCGGACGCCGTGATTGCATCCATCAGGACAACCACCCCATTTACGACGGATAGGGACTGACGTCTCTGGTGGTGCTGGCTGCACTGGATCCAGTCCTTTGGCTGCCCGCTCACGCTGTCGTTCTTCCTCTTTCTCCTTCCGCAGGTCAGACCACGTGCGGAGTTGATTCTGGAGGACGTATTTCCCGTTGTCTGGGTTGAGTTTCAAAATGACGAATTCGCAGTGATTGATGTTGCGGAGATCTTCGAAGTATTCCACACTCCAATGGTACCATTTCATGAGGAAAACACGCGTCATCAAGCCATGCGTGACGAGCACGCAGACACTGGCGAAGTCGTCCTCTCCGAACAGACGCCACAGCGACTCGTTGAACCCACTGACGCGGTCGTAGGCGTCGGCAGCAGATTCACCGTTGGGAATTCGGTAGAAGAAGTGACCATAGTCTGCCCTTTCGAGCCACATACGCTCCATCTCGGCTGAACATGGTTGAAAGTTCCCAAAATCTTGCTCCCGCAGCCGGGGTTCTTCGTAGACCTTGATGGTATGTCTTGGGAAAGGAGACGGGGCCGGGGAATCTGAGGATAGGGACTGTAGAATACCCTCTGTGGTCTCTCGGGTGCGACGGTATGGGGAGGTGAAGAAATGAATGGTATCATCCGGTCGTAGAAGGGTACGCAGACGGGAGCCAGCTTCCTGCGCCTGACGGTGTCCTTCGGGGGTGAGTTTCACTCGGTGGTCGGGGATAGTTTGATGGATTTCTCGGTTCTTGTTTCCTTCCGATTGGGCATGGCGGATCAAGATGATCATCTGTCAGAATGAGACATTGTACCGAGGACAATGATAGTTTCGGAGGGAGGAATAACTGACCCGCGGCTTGCCCATGACTACTTACCAAGGTCTCTACTGTTGCATGCAGAAGTAGTTGGGTGGAAGTGGGGTTGAGGGGAAAAAGCAAGCGCTACGATGCTAGATCAGTAAGACAGGCCCACCGCGATAACGACCTGATGTATGTATGTAGGCTAGCGATCAGGTCACTGAAGCACAAAATACACAAGCCAGCAAGATGGAGTAACGGGATAGAGGAAGCGACCGCGAGAAGAAGACGAAATGAAAGAGGAATGAGGCGAGTCCGTGACTTGGGACTCGAAAGGAGGAGAGAAAAGAGGAGAGATGATTGCGGAGTAGGGGAGAATTGCCAAATCCAGCACTGCTATTGGCCCCAGGCATCTAGAAATCGCCCGATCAGGTTAGCACAGCGCATGATGTCAGTCGGTGCTGGTCGGGTTTGTTACCGTTTGGTATCACGTATTACCACCTAGATTACCGGCCTGTAATCAAAAGGGTACATCCTTCCATAGCATCTCTCTCCTCACATTGTAGTAGTTAAGGAGCCCCCGTTCCTTAGGGATCTTGATCAGCTGTATATAATCGAATAAATTAAGGTAGGCCTAAAAGAAAATGATTTACCTCCTCATATGCCACCTCATAATAATATCTACCACCTAGCTTTCCCAGAAAGAGGAGAGGGATGGCCCTTCGCCAGTTGTCGCCGAGGCCGCCGTACGGAGCAGTGATAGTTCGGCACTGCTAAATCTGGCCTTGTTTCGCCCTCCTGCTCATCATCGCCCGCTTTCACGCTCCCCCCAATACCCTCCATTGCCGACCATCCCGGCTCTCAGCAACGAAGAAGCCGATTCTCACGATGGCCGACTATTTGTATGATCTTCTAGCCCCTCATCTGGACTCGACGAAGGCCGCCGCCGCCCTCTCCGATCCGGATCGCGATACAACCACCGCTCAATACCTGAATCGTCTCCCTACGCTCTCCCTCCAAGCATTACAGTCCACGGAACCTCAATCCCTAACTCAGTCCTCTCATTCCACCCTTCTTTCGCTGCAAGCTCTGTCGAATCGCTCCCACAAGGCCTTTGTCACCTCCGCAGATGGCCTGTCCAATCTCCGCGCGTCCATCCCCCAGTTGGCCCGGAACGCCCAGCAATTGCGAGATGCGGTTCCAAAACTCGACGAAGAGGCAGTCCGGTTCTCGTCCAAATACAGCCGAGCAGCGGAGAATGTCGCTCTGGAGCAACGGAAGAAGGTGATGCAGCTGGCGCGGAACGTCGACCGGCTGTCCGATATCCTTGAGCTCCCCACGCTGCTCGCAACAGCTGTCTCTTCCGCGGCCGCTAGTTCAGCAACGACAGGCAGCTCGGTCTCCACGACGTACTCTACGGCATTGGATCTGTACGCGCATATCAAGCGGTTACAGACCCTCTATCCCGACTCGCCGCTCATTAAAGACGTAGTCTCCCAGGCCGAGGATGCTATGAAGGAGATGACGTCGAACCTGATCGCAGGTCTTCGGGCACAGAACTTGCGGCTAGCAGCTGCCATGAGGACGGTGGGTTGGCTGCGTAGGGTGGCACCGGAACTGGATAACCTCCACCACGAAGGATCACCGGCCGCGGGGGAGGGCGCATTGGGGGCTATATTCCTGATCTGCAGGCTGGCGAATTTGATCACGATGCTAGAAGCTCTGGATCCTCTACGGGAGCTGGCCGATCAAGAGACACAGCGCAGGGCTCCAAGCACGGACAAGAAGAACGGGGCGATGGGGACCTGGTCCGAAGGACACCAGACGGAGAAGTATCTGAAACGATATATCGAGATCTTTCGCGAGCAGAGCTTTGCGATCGTCTCTCTTTACAAGAACATCTTCACTCCAGATCAATCGGAGTCAGAGCTCGCTGTGACCGGCTTACGAGGCATCGATGCGCGGATCAAAGCTGCGGCATCGCGACCCTCTCGCCCAGAGGATCCACTCCAGTGCCTTCCACCGGCACTTGCCACCTTCCCAATGCACCTAATACAACTGTTGACGGACACCTTGCGCACCTATCTCCCCAACGTCCGGGATAAAAGCTCCCGGGAGAGTCTCCTGACCCAGGTGTTATACTGCGCTGCCAGCTTGGGTCGACTGGGGGGTGATTTTGGCATGATTCTGACCGAGCTCAGCGAGGCAGCGGATGAGGAGCAAGAGAACGACGATGCCGATGACGATGACTTGGCCTATGAATGGGAGGAGGTGACTCGGAAACACAGAGCCTTGGCAGGACGCTTAGAGCAGCTGACAGGAGGTACAACTCCCGGGTCCTCGACTAAAGGACATTCGTCGCGGCAAGCCTTGCCCATGCAAGGAGATATTTGAAGCGGTAGATGCCCTAAAGAATCTTTCACCACTTCTCCCAAAGGCTGTGCAAAGTGCTATTCTTGGAGACGGCATCTGCTTTGGCTCGTCCCTTTCAAAAGGGAAAGTTCGGGCCTCCCCGGGCGGTACTAACCGGATGGAGCAAGGCCTCCGCCCGGGTTGCTGGTCCGGCCGTCATCTCATCTCATCCTCCCTCCTCACTCACTCACCTCTCCTTCTTCCTCAAGACTTCCTTTCGGCAACATCCTTTCGCTACTTTCCCCCATTTTCCTCTGTATTCGTCCCCTGGGGATATTTTACAGAACTATCCTTATATATACACATCTCTGTTTTTCAGTGCTTCGACACAGCCGTTGCTTCATGACCGGTGCTGGCTTGCCGGTCGCATTGGCCCCTTCGATTGCCGCCGCCGCCGCTGCTGCTGCTGTGTGACGTTCTCCCTTGCGTACAGGGCCTGCTGGCGTTTTAGACACCGCATTTCTCCCAGCAATGAAGATTTCTCCCTGAAAGCGAGCATCAAAGCTATCTGAAGAATAGCGGCCGTCCCCCTGCAATATCTCCTCTCTAACCCTGATCCTGCACCTCGTCTGGATGGCGGCCCCCGCTTTGTCTACCGGCGGGTTGATCGACCCGACCAAGCAGGCCGAGTATCCCATCGTGCTGGGCGACCGACTCAATGGTAAATCCAGCTCGCCACAGTCGCAGCTGGTCAATATCCAATATAATTACAAGACCAAGTCAGCGACGGCACGGCAACGCATCACCCGAACCCGACAGTCCCGCGATCGCTACAACCTCACAATCACCGATAAAGCGCCCAACACCGATAATGTCCTGACTTATTCATACCAAGGCAGTGTGGACCCAACGCAAGCTGTCTCGGATGTTGGGGAACATAACTTGGTGCTAGTCTTTGACGCGGCGAGGAAAGTGTTCGTCTTGGAGCCGGTTTCAACACAACTGAACTTCAACCTCCGGTCTGCTCCGGCCAAATCCCAGAAGCAGGTGCTAGAGCAGTACGAACAGCTACGCACTTTGCAGGAAGAGGACCATGGGTCGGGTGACGATCGGGGCATGGACAATGCCAGCGGTAACGATGATGGGCCTGCTGACGACAGCAATCCCTATGACTACCGCCACTTTCTCCCCAAGGAGAATGCGGACGATGACAAGTCGGGCTCGGACAAGACACCAGAACCCCCATCCTACACCAGCAAGCTCGATACTCCGCTGATGTCCGCTACCAGATCCATTCCTAGCCCTCAGCCACCCCCGGAGAGCCGGACGAAGCCTGTAAACGCGAAGAAGAAGAAGCCAGACGGGGTCAAGCCCCCTAAACCGGCGGCTGCTCGGCCACGGCCCAGGTCGCCCCCCCGTCCTGTGCAGCCAAGGGAGGAGCGGAAGGCAGAGGTCGAGGAGGAACCTTCAGTGGAGACATTTGATTCCTCGCCGTCCGACACGGGCCTGGGTGCTGTCTCCTCTCAAAAGGCGGTTCCATCACCGGGCTCGAATATCATCATCGACGGTGATCTCATCATCGATATGGGCTCTCCGCCGCCTGCTCGTCCCTTCCGGGTCAACCCCGCATACTTCTCTTCGAACAACACTCCGGCGGATGAGGAAGGGAATCGGGATGAGGACGAGGAGCAGGATGATGATGAGGATATTGAGGACCTACGGCTCCCCTCTCCGGCTGGCCATGGAGGAGCGCCGGTGACCTCGAGCGGCATAAATCTGGAGCCCGGGTTGGACGAGGAGGAGTTGGAGGTTGATGATGATCCCCTCGCGGCGGAGATGGAGGCGGCGTTTGAGGAGGATGTACAGGAAGACGACCGGAGCCAGCCAATTCCAACGCAAGCGGTGTCGCAGCAGTATCATATGGCTAGTGAGGATGAGAGCGAAGTCAGTGAGGAGGAGTAAGGGGGTGGAATGTTCTACCGTGTAGCATGTTTGCTAATATCTCTCGTATTTCTCTTTGGGGGCATGGTTCCCCCGTGTCTGCGTATATACCAGCAAAGCAAGGCGCCACTTGGAGTTTTTTCTAACCACGGGAAAGGATCAGAATACCAGGGATCTCCATCGTATTATATGATATCAACAATAACAATGACAATAACACTTATCATACTCATAATAGTGATAATGATCATACGCCAAAGATATAGATGTGAATCTCTCCGAAAAGCGAAGCGACGATCCCTGAGGCCCGGAACAACGGGATGATCCGAAAAGCCGGCGGTCATTGGCTGGGCGGTCAGTCGCCAAAAAGTGCCACAGCAAAAGGAAAAGGAAAGTCCCAAGTGAGAAAGGAGTCTCTCTCTTCCTCTTGCTCTCTCTCTCTCTCCCTCTCTCTGTTGCACTCAGAACTAGTCGCCGCCCATCGCTCTCCTCTCCTTCTATTTTCGGGTCTTCTGCTCGTCTCCCCCCAGCTCCTCTGACAACTGTGACTTCCCAATCCTCCTTCTCACCTGGTCCGGACATCCTGTGGGTGCGATTGGCTTCCCGAATCACCGGCTTCCGATGCATGCGATGCAGTGGCCTCTCCCGCGATGATTAACACGCCTCGGTAATCTCAGGACTCTGGGTGCTCGGAACTAAAGTAGGACAAACTACAGACTAGCAGGAGGGCCGTTTCACTACGCTGGTTCCAGCTGGCTCTTTGTGCGCGATCAGCTCGTCTGAGTGGATCCCTGTTGTCTCTTTCACTTCGGGCTCGGGTCGACGCGAGCTCCTGGGCCTTCCTCCGCTCTCACTGGCAGCTTCGCTTTCTTCCAGGTTGCCTGGGGAGATTAGATTCTCTCAAGCAGCTCGCCACTCAATACTTAACCCTCCAAGTTTATCTCAATCGCTTCCACTATCCCCGATGGCGTCTTCCGCAGCCCATCCTTCCGAGCTCCCGCCGGTTCCTGCCCCGTCGAACCCCGTCCTTCTTG